TCATGCGTGGTGCCCAGCGTGCGCACGAGTGGGAAAACTGTCAAAAATGTAAACACGAGTCTGTAGAGCGCTTCTCTGTTAACCTTAGTGGTGAGACAAGTTTTTTTTACATGCTGGATTGTGAATGTGCCATGATAACTTTCTACTGTAGAGACACCCGATCGCTTTTATTTGGTGTGGTACTTTTTTGGTTATATAGTAAAAAAAATTAAAACCCCGGTGATTAAATACCACCAAAATAAAGTCCTATCTGTCCCCAAAAAATTATATAAAAATTATTTCAATACAGCATTGCAAGACTGAATAAATGTCAAAGTCCTGTACCACTGAATACTGAAAAATGGCCTGGCCAGTAAGGGGGTTCTTCAAATGGTTAAACATCTTGTCTGTGCTTTATTTCCCAACTGGGTCAAAGGGTAACCCCCTCCAAGAAGATTACAGTACTTCTGGAAAAGTAAAGGGAAACAGTGGAACACAGAACACTCTCACTGACGATGTAACCGAACAGTGCAAAACTAGGAACTGACGATTCCCAGAAAAAAAAAGAACAGTTCCTTCATGACCCCCGGCTTCAAGTTCATGATGCCCTCCCTCTTTATCACCCCTTGCTACAACCTCTTGACCATAACTAGTTCCTGCTCCGCATATTCTGCCAATGTAACACAATTAACTGTTGCTTCTCCTTCCCCTCACTGCCCCATATCAAATCAAAAATTACTAGGAAAATCCTGAAAAGTTTAAAAGCCAAACTCCACCTAAAATGTTGATTGGACAGAGTGGGGGAAGAGGTAAAACCTATACGGAGTCTGTCTCCATAGTGATTTCCCCTTACAATCTGTTTTGAAGACTGGGTCAAGAGGACACAAGTAATAAACAATCTCTCCTATGTGGAAAGATTTTGAAACGAGAACAAAAAGGTTCGGCTGGAGTTGATCTCCGTCAATCACATATGACTAGGCAACATAAAACCATGTACCTCCAATGAAAAACTGCTCACGCTCAGGCTGGGGGGGTGGTGGTGGTGGTGGTGGCGGCGTGTTCCTCCAAGGTTCTTGAAGTCTTGGAGGTGGATTGAAATTGACAGGACCAGAACCAGAGACATGCGGAAAGTCTGGCAGGCCCTATTAAAAAAATAAAACCATGATGATGAAGGGTCAAAGCACAGTAGTATACAGTGAAAAAGTAAACATACAAACTCCTAAGAAGGCATTACAACAAATGCAACTTTTTTTTCAAGGATATCAACTACTGCAGAGTTTGGTTTATTGAATCAAAAGAAAGGCATTAGAAGAAGCCAAGTCTTAAATGAACTACGAATTCCTCATTAAACCCAGCTTTTCCATTCATAATACTCCATCCAGCCCACCTCCTCAACAAAAGATAAGGTGGCCCTAATCCTTTTACAGAATTATACCCTATTTTTCAGCTTCTTTTATCCCCTTAAATATCCATCTAGTTAAGAAATTAACATTCTCTCACACACAATCACTACACAAATTATACTTTACATTTCCACATCTCTTGTTAATTACATGATGCTATCTGCAGTAATCTATTCAAAGGCTGCAGATAACTTGGCCTACTGGTGAAAAGAAATAAAACTTGGCATAAATTGCTTAGCACAAACTTAATCTTAAAGAGAAAAACAGAATAAAGGAAATCTAACAGCTATTGTGTGACTTACAGAAAGGGTCACTCATACTTCCCGAAGACTAATTAAATATGTTAAAGTCTTTGTAACTTAATGAATCTTTCAATAAATTACTTCCAACATCTACAACATGTTTTCATTAATTTCATTTCATATGCAAGTGTTCTATTAGAATTCTAATGATGGTTAAGCAGGGTCAGGCAGACAATTGAGAACAGAGCTTAGAGATTAATGACCAATATAGCCCTGTACGCATATTCTATTCGGAATCATGAGTATTAAATTTCAAAGTATTTGCTCTTTAACTTTTCGCCAATGCCAATTTTTTCTTCAATGATTAGGAACTGTCTTTTTAAAAAGTGAGAAGGCTACATCAAATGAGGAAAACTGCTTTTGGAAAAGGGATGTACTTCTAAGCTTCAGTACTGACGATGAGATCCTTCATGGGGAAAGCTAGTTTAAGGCAAATGTTATAGAAGCTGTATCACAGGTACATTGTGTTGACCAATAGGCCAGTACAGAAGAAGTATGAGAAACCCTTGTAACATGAATATGGAGAAGACTGGAACCTGTACTTAAAAGGTCAGTGAAAATCACTCATCCTCATAGTTCGAGCCGACGTACCACAATGAAACTGTCACGCGTCAGCTCAATAGTTCGGGAAGTGAGCGAACACCTACAGTCGCTCGCTCACTTCTCGATCATCTCCCTGCAGAGAGCAGTGACTGAGTCACAGCTCCCTGCAGAGATTCCCCCCCCCCCTCAGCGCTGACTGGAAGAACGAACGGGGGAGGGCCTCTGGATAGGCAGAGCCAGCTTTCACTCACGCAGCTGGGTGGATCTCGAGTGCATTGTCGGGATCCATCCCGGCTGCAGCGGTCTCAGTATACTGCGAGCTGTAGCTCGCGATATACTGAGCTTTGGGTCACGGGAGGATGCTAGTATATGTCCTCCCGTGACCCTTGAGAACTATGGGGAAAAACACTTACCCCATAGTTCTCTTTTAAGTATCATTAAACTTGTATCTGGCATAGTAGGAAATCTAATGGGAATGCACTTATTGCTAGATGAGAAACCTGAGACTGAGGAATCTACAGATGTCAGCAACACTCAGGCTGGCTTCACAACAGTGGCTACGCTACAGGTGTGGGTTTGAAGTCACAGTGCCGATGCACCGATCACAACGTATTGCACTGATTACCTTTTTTTATTTTGGTTAGAACTTTATTGAAATGTCATTCGCCCGAGAAACCGCAAAAAACTACAATACCCAAGATTTCCCATAGGTGATGCTTTGAAGCTTTTACTGCTTATCAGCTTTGTGTTAACAGCGATTGATGGCCCTAGTGATTCATTGCTCACTCAGACGTTTGCGGCCATACGTAACATGTGTGGCGCAAATTTCGTTTTTGCACGTAGGCGCACCCAGGGGGGCACACACTGCAGGGCAGCGCATACAAGCAATTGAACGGCTATAGAGCAGCTGATCGCTTGTATGTGCACCAGCCGTTACCGGCTGTGTACACCTGTCAGTGTGCTCTGCTCGTGAGCACGGTAGGGGGCATGCGCGAGCAGAAAAAACAAAAGCTGTATATGTACGGCGCCCCGCTGGAAGGAGCTTGCCGTCCGTCCGTTTATTTACGCCTGCCAGACTGCAAGTGGTTAAGAGACATCATTGGTTTTATTTATTTAATGGTTTATCTTAACTGTCTGCTGCAACGTTGTCATTATTACTCCCATCCCCCACCTTCCATGTGTAATGGGTGGAGGCAGCAATGTTTTTCTTTGTTTGAATCATAAGAATACTATATATAACAGGGGTTTGGAAATTGAAAAAAAAAAGGGCTACTTGCCCAAGCACTAAAGCAGCGGCCCAATCTACTTGTCTCTCATGACAATCTACGTGTCTTGATATAAAAAATAGTTGTAACCAAAAACGTATTTAACCGTGCTAAGAAGTGTTTCTCATTGGTCAGCATGGTCATATGACTGTGCTGACCAATGAGTGCTTGCAAATTGAGAGCGAAATTCAAAATCCATAGTGCAGGGCTGCGCTAGATGGCAGTACAGGGCACAAATACTACAACCGTACCAGCGGAGGGGAAGGACTGTTCATCGAAAGGCGAGCATAGTGGGGGGATGAGCCAGATTTGAGCGGGTAATTCTATTTTCCCAAATTACTTTGGAAAGTGAATGTACCCTTACACGTACGTGTAAGAGCGCTGCTCTTTTTTTTATTGTTTATTATTTTTTTACTTCATCACATTTCTTTTTTATTACGTTTTAATATATCACTTTTTAAGAAATTTTGTTTTATTCCTTTTTTTTTAAATCACTTTTATATTTCATTATTTTTTTCACTTAATTTTATTCCCATCACACGGGATAACGAGCCACTGTGCGATAGTTTCTCTTTATGGAACCTACCCTCCAACACAAAACAGATCTTCTGTGCAGTTTCTGACAGCTGAGACAGATGGTGCACTGATCACAGAGCAGTGCGGAGAACTGACGTTCTCCGCTCTGCTCCCCGCTCTCCATCCTGAACTCATTTGCCGTGGTCCCGGGTCAGAAAAACAGGATGCTAAAAGTGATCTGATCAGATCACTTGTATAAAAGATACAGCAGCTCCCCGCTCTACATTTAACCCTGCTTGCCCGAAGCAGGGCTAAATGTAGCAATAAAACTACCCAGCCGGCGCCCGGAACTGCATGTCCCGGGCGTTGGCCGAGAGGAATTCTGCACCCCTCATATAAATATACCTTCTATCTGATGCAAACTTGTAATTATGAACAAGTAGACTAATTAGAAATAGTAGAAGTCTTGTTGTCACACTAATCCTTGGAACACAATAAGCTGCAGACTAGAAGAATGCCGGTCAGGCATTCTGAATGCTATAGCTATGCGTATTGACGAACTGAAAAAAGAAAAAAAAAAAAGACAGCCAGCAATGGCAAAACTCACCTAGGTTTTTTAATGACTACCACTATGCCACGCCACGCCACTGATAATTACGGAATACTATACCACCACTAAAGTGATTATGAGGGGTGGTGTTTAAAACTACAGATTGAGGGATGCTCAAAGATAGATATAGACAAACAAATTTATATCATCATAAAGGTAATCTTGATTTAAATACTAATAAGCATCAGCCTGACTAAGACATTGCTTCCTTAAACCCTTAATGACGTCAAAGCACCATCTGTTCCATTTCTGCACAGTAATGCTATAACATTACTTCCCATTTACCTGAAAAAAACTCACAAATAAGAATACTACAGTCATTTCAAAACCTCTTCATTGCAAAAGTCACAAAAGTGTCATTTCTTAATCAAGGTGGTCATTTCCAAAGAAACAAATAATAAATCTTGCTCTAAATAGCATGGTAAATGCAGTCATATTAAGATGAGCCAAGAGCAGCAGGGAATTCACTGATATGATCAAATGTGATGGTATGATAATGTATGGTAATTGAAATTAATCAGAGGCTCACTAGCAAATGGAAGATGTTCAATATTGTGTAAGCTGCATTTTAAACTGCATCCCTTCTGTACTAGCTTGACAAGATGTGACAGCTGGGTGAATCTCATGTTGCATCTGTTCACTAGCACTTACACATCAGATATGACAAAACCAAGCACTACTTTACTACCTCAAATAGCATCATAAAAAAACATTACATTTTGTGTTATTGCAGTAGGTGCTTTGTGGTCAATACAACAGAAGCTCAGCTTGGTGTCTGCGTGCAAGATCTTTCATGCTCCCACATATCGGAAGAGCAGCTTCATTCAGGCATAATTTCCATGAAATGCCATGTAAAGCACTGAGAAGGAAATGTCACTCAATCCCACCTGATACCATGGCCCCAGTTCAATATGTGACAAGTCATTCATTAATGATCTTATTGGACTTCGAACACTCAAGAGCACAACTTCAGAAAAAATGCACAGGAAATTGAATGAATTTGCCACATTTCACACATACATATGCTACACAATACAAAACTAGTGGAAATGCAAGTATATTTTTCTACAGCTGATACAAATAATCTAATATAACAAAAAGATTTGAAGAGAGACCCTGACACCAGACCATTTATTGCAACAAAAATCTTCCCACAATATTATATTTACATTTAATGAGGGGAATTTATTCAAACTGGAGCAGACAAAATCTGGAGCAGCTGTGCAGGGCAACCAATCAGCTTCTCTCTTCAGTTTGTTCAATTAAGCTTTGAAAATGAAAGAGGGAGGCTGATAGGTTGCCATGGACAACTGCTCCAAATTTTCTCTACCTCAGGTTTTGATAAATTCCCTTCAATTTATTTTATTCATGTTATTTACTTGTAAAATCCTTTGTGTAGAGATCCAAAAACCCTGAGACAGATTCTGCATACCGCCATCTTAGATGTGATGTCAACAGCCCCAGTAGACTCAAGTATCCCCCCTAGCTGCAGAAAAGGTTATGTAGGCAAGTACAGCCCTGAAGGGCTACGACATGAAAGAGGGGAGTTGGTTGTGCTGGGTAATGCCAAATTTTAACGTTCAAAAGTTACATTGAAAGTTGATAAAAACGAATCCATGGAAAGGAAAACACTGCAAATGTGCATGTAAAATACTTTTTCTGCAAGTTAGTGACGTGTTCTCTAAGAATAATCTACCCCCCAGTATCACTCTATTAATAGGCCATGGATAGCAATCAAGTTTAGGCCAGCAATACGTACCAACGTGGTTCAGCGTAAGTGCACCAGCAAACTCCTCATATCTCGCAGCATTAAAATTTGTTACTATTTCTTATACTTAAGTCAAGCGAACTCTAACAGCCCTAAAATATTGCATTAAAAAAATTTGAATTTTATGATAAAGGATAAAAACCATGTATAGAGATGGTTGCAAGTGCTACTCTCTAGATGGGAATTGTTAACTCAGGAGTTAAATCCTAAAAATCCATTAAAGTACCTGAGCTATTAAACACAAATAAGATACATTTATGTTATCACTTGGATGTAGATCATCAAATCATCTCTGAATTGGTGCTGACACTGTCCTTCCTTCTGGAGGGTGGCTACTTTTGTTCCCCATGGTCCCTGTGTGTGTTGTAAAGTAGCCACCGCTCCAAGCTCACTCCCGTGATGGACACAACACATACAGGGACCATAGTAGTCCCCCTCCAGAAGGAAGGACAGTGTCAGCACCAATTCAGAGATGATTTGAGGATCTACAGCCGAGTGATACACAAATAATATACATTTTTGCGAATAGTGAAGGGACTTAAATGTATTTTTAAGATTTTACTCATGAGTTTAATGTCACGTTAAGTGGATTTTCAAGCTGCTCTTTAAAACAAATAACACAAAATCCCTCGATCGGGTAGAGTATTATGACTATGGTATATCTTTATAGCTAAACTACATTCTGGCTTCAGAAAATACCACTAATAATACTTACTGGAAACCTTGGTGGCCCCACTGCTGGACGAGGTTGATTTGGGACTGAAAGCAGTGGTACTGTAATGAAAAGAAAAAGCATTACTTCAAAATGATTTCCATTTTTACAATGGTCAAATAAAAATCAATTTTACAGTGACCTAATTACACTGGCTCAGAGGGGAGTACTAATTAGCTGGTCAGTTTTTTTAGCTCCACTTATTTTTCTTATATCTTGTCTTAAAGCCACCCTTCATCCTGTAAAATGTAGCAATTTCAACTATTTTATTTTCATTACAGGTTTTTCTTACTGGACAAAGCAACAGGTTACCTTTTCAGGAGGTGGTGTTGGAAGCAGTTACCTTCCCCATGCTACTTAGTGCCATAAACTGATGCCAGAGCACATCAAAGGCCTGTAAACGTTTATGTCATCTGTCCCCGTGTGACAGAACCCAGGCCTGGAAATTGACCACTAAAGGCTTGGAGCACTGTACTGTGTGGAGGGAAGTTCTACTTGTCTGTGTTCCCTCACACCTATAAATACAAGTATTTTTCTGGGCTGCAACAGATCATTTTAAGGATAGGTGATGGGGCAACGCGAGTAGGTATACAAAATCTTCCGACCAACATCCTGTAGGTCAAGCCTGTTACTTTGGCCAGTATAGCAATGTGGTCTTTGAGAGCTGCCTAGCTGTCATGCTGACCTTCCTGCTTCAGTACCTGAAACAAATATGCAGATCATAAAGGTCATCATGCATACTTGTTCAGAGTCAGCATAACAACCAGGCAACTAGCAATTTTAGGAGGAAGACAGCATTTCATCAATATTTCATCATCAACAGGTTTACTTTTAACAAAAATAATGCAAGTTATAGAATATAGACTCCTATAAGGAGCCACAGAGCTGATGTTAGCATAGTGGCAATAGCTCTAGTATCTCACTGACAAACTTTACTTGTTGTCTAGAAGTGTTGTGTGCAAAAATATACACTCTTTGAATTATGAGACGGAAACCTCAAAGACCTGAAACAGGGATATCAGGACATAATAAAAATCTTCTGGTCCTTACTAGGTCTTATAATTAGGTAAATACAACGTCAGATGAACACCACATAACATATTACACCGTGTCATTGTTTATTTTAGAAACAAAGCCAAAATGGAGAAGCAATGTGTGAAAAACTAACAGTGTTATTCACAAGAGGGTGAAGTGTTTGGAGAAGGCAGAAGAAGTGAACAATCTAGTACAACATAGCTGATTTGGAAAATTCTCCAATTCAGCTCACTTTCCAGTTCAGCTATTTTGGCCTAGATTGTTCACTTCTAACTCTTCACCCTTTTGGGAATAACCCCCTAAGTATTATGATTCAATAGCTTGTAGATCCACCTTTAGCAGCAATAACTTGAAGTAATAGTTTCCTGTAAGACTATCAGTATCTCACATTGTTGTGGAAGAATTTTGGCCCACTCTTCTTTACAATGTTGGCTCAGTTCATTGAGGTTTGCGGACATTTGTCTATGCACAGCTCTCTTAAGATCCCTCTACAGAATTTCTAATCAGAATAAGGTCTGGATTTTCCCTGGCCATTGCCACACCTTTTTTTTTTTTTTTCAGCTACTCTTTTGAAGATTTGCTGGTGTGCTTGGGGTCATTGTCCTGTTGCATGACCCAATTTCAGCCAAGCTTTAGCTGTCGGGCAGATGGCCTACACATTTGACTATAAGATTACTTTGGTACACAGAGGAGTTCATGGTCGACTCAGTGACAGCAAGATGCCCAGGTCCTGTGGCTGCAAAACAAGCCCAAATCATGACTCCTCCATCACCATGCTGGACAGTTGGTATGAGGTGTTTGTGCCGATATGCTGTGTTTGGTTTTTGCCAAAGTGGCGCTGTGCATTATGGCCAAACATCTCTACTTTGGTCTCGTCTGTCCAAGTGACACTGTTCCAGAAGTCTCATGGTTTATTCAGATGCAACTTGCAATCCTAAAACATGCAAACCTAAGCCGGGCAGCCATGTACTTTTTAGAGAAGAGGCTTTCTCTTGGTAACCATTCCAAACAAACCATACTTGTTCAGTCTTGTTCTAATTGTACTGTCATGAACTTTAACATGCTAACTGAGGCCTGTAGAGTCTGAGATGTAACTCTTGGGGTTTTTTTTTGTGCAATTTCTCTGAGCATTGCATGGTCTGAACTTTGGGGTGAATTTGCAGGAACATCCACTCCTGGGAAGACTGGCAACTGTTGTGAATGTTTTCCACTTTAAATGGTTTGGAAATGGCCGTATAACCCTTCTAAGGTTGATGGGCAGCAACAATTGCTTCTCTAAGATCAATGCTGATGTCTTTTCTCCTTTGCAATGTGTTAACACACACCTGAATGCTCCAGACCAGCAAACTGCTAAAACTTCAGCTTTTATAGAGCGGGTCACACTTGCTGAACAATTGATGATTATCAGCACTTGGCTGCTACTTAGCCTCCTAAACCCTATGTAAGCAGTAAGGGTGTACTTCATTTTTCACACATGGCTTCTCCATTTTTGCTTTATGTTTGTAAAATAATGACAGCATAATATGTGATGTTCTTTTGTTCATCTGAGGTTATAGTTACCCAACTCCAATACCTGCTCAGGACCAGATACATTTTATTATGTCCTGATACTTAAAACCATAGAATTCAAAGAGACTTTTTGGAAAGTATTCTTTTCATCTGAACACAATGGAAGCAGCTGTATTGTGTTCTAGAACAATATTCCACACAATGTAGCCAAATAAATCCTTTATTAGGAAAGAGCAGCATCACTTATGAAGGGACCCTTAAAAAATTTAAATTATGGAACTGTTATAGCTACATTCATGCAGCAAAAGGTGACAGAATGGTAAGCAAATATTTTATGTACTTCATGTGTCATAACCTACCAGATAAGCTGCTTACTTAATAAGGGCAACAGGTTTGTTCTGGGCAGCATCAGGGTCCACACATTACCTGCAGGGTAGTGTCTCATGCAGACCTTACACCTGGGTGTTACTTTGTTTTTCTATTACTATAAATCACATCATCATTACATTTAGGGCTCATTCACAATGGTGTGCAAGCCTGTGCAGGGATCTGCTCCAGGGACGGACAGGTGCAGCGTGTAATTTCATGCAGCCACCTGAACATCCCTGTGGGAGGACCCGTCTACATACCGAGCCTGCAAATCTGTGCAAGTCTGGGTGCCCGCATGGATGTGCAGGTACAGGTCGACATGTAGCTGAGTCCAGCCATGTCCTCCAATATGGATGTGGAGGTGGCGGCACGCAATTACACACGACACCTGTCCCTCCTGGGAGCAGGTCTCTGTACATGCGTGCATGTTGGACAGATGTGCATGTAAATGAGACCATAAGCATGCAATTTCTAACAACCTTGTAAAATACAATCAAAATTTGAAACTTTTGGTAATCTGATACATCATAAAAATCTGTATCTAGAATATTTGGAATTCTGATAAACTAAGTGGAATTACACAATCTGTTTATAAACCCTTTACAGTTACTTAACAGGAGGATCACCGCTACAATATGCTTCTTCTAAGAAAATAGTGGAACCCCACCCTGCAAGGATGACCAAAGGGAAATATTACAATATATTAGTGCAGGGGGGGAAAAAAAAGGACAGATATAAAGAATGACCTTGAACAGATGTCACATTCCCCTTAAAATGAGGATTAATGTGAATATTTTTAGATTGATGAGGTGGGGTTGATAGAGGCGTGGCCTGTGCTCTAGTCTTCTCCTGTTGCATTTGTGAGCCATCATGCTGGGGTCTCTGCATAGGTAGGAGAGGCTGAATACGCTGTTGCTGCTGCTGGAATAAGGTTCGAATGGGCTGCTGGAAAGACAAAAATAAATGTTAATGTGCACACAATTCGCTAAAATTATCTAATCTTTTTAACCACTTGAGTACTGGCCTGCGTATACCTCTTCATTACCAGGCTATTTTTCAGTTTTCAGTGCTTGGATAGTTTCACTGACAATTACTCAGTGCTGCAACAACTTCTATAAGGGGGAAAAGACCAATCATTTGGGACTGCTTACATTTGCCTTCATTTCTTTGCCATTAAAGAAAAGATCCCATTAGCATTGGTGCTGTGTGGCACTTTAACACAGTTAAAAAAGAAAAAAATCCCACAATCACTGGTGTTGAGTGGCACTTTAACCCCCTTTAAAAAGACAATCCTACAATTGTTATTCAGTGCCACTTTAAAACCCCCAACTTCACCTTCCATTTGCTGCAAAGCTCTTGTTGTATTTACAAACATTTAGCACTCCCCTTCATCTGCTGTAAATTGCTGAAGGTTTGTGAATACTGGTAACGTTTACACTTCTAATGAATGTGACTGCCCGCTGCCCATGTTTTTTCTGCTGCACCATTTATACATTTTACTCCAGAAAACATCATCCACCCTGCTGCCATTTTTTTTTCTTTTTAAATACAGTGGGGAAAGTGGACCTACAGCAAAAATGTAACTACCCTGCACCTTACAGACAACCCTGCCCCCTGGCTCTAACTGAAAATCACTGCCTTAAACACTTGATCTGAAATCAGTAAAAAAAAAAAAAAAATGCTTATGCACAAAATCAAGGGGTGGTCTGGCACCTGTTAAAGCTAGGCAGCATGGTTGTGCAGGGACTGGGAGGGCTGTTGCATACTTACTACATGTCTACTTTATAAAAACCTACTTCATAAAGTCATACATTAATAACAGTGTAAAATGATCAGTGATTCCACACATTATACAATCTGTCAAATTAACAGGCTGTAAATACCACATAGATTATACTTCTTACACTTGGTTTATGAATTACAAGGTGGATTAGAATAATAGAAACTAAAATTTTGTAAAAATATAAGCAAGCACTATATGGACACACTATTCTTGCCCTTGGGAGTATATACTTCTTTTTTATGGCTTAGGAGTTTGTAGGCATTTTAATATACAAATATTCTTCTTTGTATTAACAATTTTGTTTTAGCATCAATAAACATTTTTTATATACAACTTGTAGCCACTTGTAGTGCAGATACCCAGCATTTTCATGAGAACTACCAGGGTTGCAGCGTTTGCAGCTGGGACTGGGCTCTGGCGCTCCACCACTGTCCTGAAATCATTAGTCTGTATTGTTTTAGAAAAACTGTCACATGGCAACAAACAAAAATGTATCAGTACTCGTACTTGTAAGTACTCGGCAAGTACCAGTACTCGTACTCGCAAAACTGGTATCTGTGCATCCCATTATTTATATTTATAAAAACAAAATCGTACATTAAAACAGAGATGTGCAAATCCCAGGAGCTCCGTGTGCTCCTTACACATGACAGCTGCCTCCTATTTTTTTAAATTTTTCTCTAGTCTAGTCTTGGAGCTCAAAAGTATCGGTACATGTACTCGTACTTGTACCGAGTACTGTACTTGGTATCTGTGCAACCCTAATTACAAGTAAAGGTGCACCGAAATTAAATTTGCAGACCGCAACCAAAAATAAAAGATTTGTCAGGCCAAAACCAGAAAAAAGAAAATTCTAACCTTTTTAAAAATATTATTCTTTTGAAATAGAAAAAGAGACTGAGGACAAGGAGTTTTAAATCTCTTTTTCTGCAGCCCGTTATGAATGTGTGTGCTCCTGTCCATTCATAAACTGTGGAGATAGTATAAGTTACTATGTCCTCAATCATGAACGAACAGGAAGTGATGTAGAGCACTTCCTATTCATTCATAATTGGGGACAGAGTAAGCTTACTATGTCCTCAGTTATTTACAAACATTCAGTGATCAGCTGATCGCTGAGTGTTTGTACCCCGCTCTCCATCCTGACTCGCTGTGAGGAGAGCTTGGCCTCCTGTGAAACCCCTCTCCTCACCGCACCGCCAGCTCGGTCTCCTGTGACAGCTGACGCCTCTCCACACTGCTCTCCATCCCGATTTGCTTGTTGCAGGAGGCCAAGCGGGGCAGTGCAGAAGGAGAGCTCGGCCTCCGCTGGGTGCTGCTCTGTGTCCACCGATCCCTAAGGCCTCTGCCCACACAGGCGGGGGGTTTAGAGGGGACACAGAGCAGTGCCCAGCGGGGAGGAGAGAAACTGGCGATGCACTGCATTTTTGGCAAAAAGATGGTACTTTCGGCTTTTTGCCCACAGTACCATTTTCCACCGAAATGTTTCAGTGGCCAAACTGTTGGTGCACTTACAATCCCAATCTCTACCCTAGGTTTTCAATGCGAACTGCGTCCCTACAAAGGGCATTTCTCTGTTTGACACCCATCACCCAGCCTTTACTAAAATGCTGACAGAGGTTTTACCCCTTTACCCACAATTAAAGTTTTGGCTAAAGTTGAGTTTTAATATCACTCGTAGGCCTGCCAAAAAACAAAGGACTAAAATGCAAAATAAAGTTTTACCTGTTAAAAAAAAAATGCAAAATAAAGAAAGAAAAAAAAACTTAGTAAAAAGTAAGGTACCCCTTGATTTGATCTTTGCTCCCTAAGGTTCCTCCTATCATTTTGATTATGCCTTTGGTCAATCACTCCACGGTGCATTGCATTGTTGCCTCCTCTCCTGCCACCTCTTCTAGGACCATAGCGTCCTGATTTGCGCTGACGCTCCATTTCTTCAAATTCCATTAAGGATGCCTTTGCTTCTGCCGAAAGTTCTGAGGGAAGAAGAAAAAATTGAGAGTGAACAAATTAGTACATGGCTTGCAAGATGTCTTCCAACAAGACAAAATCAAAAGATAATGCACAATGTGCAATAACAGCAACCAATCAGACTTCAAGTTACTGAAGTCAGATCAGTGAAAAAAGAGTTCGGATCAGTTTCTTTGAATTAGTGTATTCTGAAATACAAATAATAGGAAAAAAATAGTAAACCTCTCAGGTTTACTGCAGAAAAAATTGTTTTCTAAAAATCAAAAGCTGCATCAATGGAAAGCCAGAAAATGCTGAAAAAGTCTGTAACTAAATAAATAAAACAGAGTTCATAGAGAAATACAGATCATAATACGGCATAGGAGTGTATGTAAATGCGGAAAAACATATGATATTAAGATAAGGTGTGACAACTGTGCTAACAGCTCACACATTGCAGCAACCTCAATGAGCATGGGGTAAACATTCCTACTAAATTACTAAGACTATTGTGAGACAATTTCCAAACACCTGGTGGTTTTTGCTTGGCTCCCGATTGCTCTCTGCTGACAAGTCTTCATTCTAGTTTACTCACTATAGGCAGATCACCCATCAGGAGAGAAGGAGGAGCTATGACTTTCAATAATCATAATACAGGGAGCACATAACAGCTTAATGTAAGCGTCTGATTTAGGTGATCTTTACAACAACCACCCTCTTGATTTTAGAAACCAGGGCCAATACTGTTAGCAAGTTATATTTACAGATCTTAACTGCTGTCTTTAGACATGAGATTTTCTCTTGACAAGAGCCCCTTATTAACACTACACCAGAGAGACAGTTGTGGGAGGATGACCAACCCTCTTCCAGCCACTACTGTGTCCCCAGAAGGTAATTCAACTCAGGAGTCGTCTGTAATTAAAATTTAAGTGCTGGGAAGAATGGCGTTCAGAAAGCTAGAAAATGTGATTTTAATAAAATATTAAATTTATAGAAAACCACATACAAAATTACTTCCGAGGTTTATACTAAGCAGATTCTTTAACAGTTCAGATAAAAATGAACAATTTTTGTAGAAAATATTAAAGACCAGATCATTTTTTCTTCCTTAGACAAGGATGAATTTATAATTATTTCGTTTCGGTGGACCGGATGCAGTAAATGTCATTACATGGAAAAGGGTTAATTAGAAATCAAACACAAAAACATGGTAAATGTGAGCTTTACCTCATCCAACACCTTTCCATCCCCCACTTGCTCCTGCTTACACTGGACTCCCATTCACACTTAATACCGTGAATCAGCAATTATTTTTCATCTGGCTCTAAGTGTCAAGATTAATTTCACCATCCCTACTAATAAAATGGTTTCAAATGACATCTTTAATCAGCACATAAAAATACTTCCCTCCAATAGAGACAAGCTGTCACAAAAGGTCACCGATATGTGACAGGACGAAAATTATGTTTGTTACTTCAACTGAAATGTTAATTCATTCTTTAAGATTTTCTTTAGAACACTCAGCATCGAGAAGTAGAGGATAAAAAGTAAAAAAAAATTATTTTGTAAGATATATTCTGCAGATACAGACCTCCAACCGGTGATTAAGTAACACATCCACACAACAAACAGAAAGTAAAAATACAATTTTATTTAAATCTTACATTATGGTTTCCAATATGTATGAGTGGGTGACTAGATGGAAGAAAATGATGCAGCCTTTTTTACATGATTTGGGTAGGGTATTTTCTAATATATACAGTGTGTGTGAGAGATATAGATATAGATATTAAGTAAAAATGCACCTTTTTTTCTTTGTGTCTGAAATTTATAACCAGCGTATTAACCCTTTCGCTGCCAAGGACGTATGGCATACAGACCTACAAAAGTGCTTCCAGCTGGCCAGGTCAGTATGCCATACGGACCTGGCATTTACAGTTCTACTATAAGCTGATGGTCGCTTTAGCGACCATCAATTATGAAAAATCAAATGGTGAGCTACAGTAAATGGCTAGACACAGATTTCTTTAAACTCTGCATTCCTCACGGAGAGATTGGCCAGCCCACTCCCCCCATAAGAAGGGGAGGAGACAAAGTACAATCTGCTCAGTACGCCGCCTCCTCTTCCTTTTTTTTTTTTTTTTTATTTAACACTAGATCTTGATGTCTGAGGTCCTACAGAATATATGGTAAACTTGACAAGAACAGCATTGACAACAGTAAAAAAACAGTAAAAAAAAAAAAATAGCCCTCTAACATCACATTGAATAAAAGTCTATTTTCATTGTTTTAAACCGGTCCTGAAATGACACAAATGCTGAATGGATAATAAAAGGAAATTGCGGTTCGGGAATAATGATAACACCATCACTTCTATATCACATATGTCGCTAAAGATATATATTTACCAGTATGTAAATATGAGGACACAACTGAATAATTTCTAAAGACTAAATGTATTTTTGGAACCCCTTTTTTTGTCCACCCCTGAACTGTTTCAGTAGCTCAGTCTTATCTTTGGATCTAAAACAATCAAGACAAAGATTTGAATAGCTCAATAAGCCTCTTTATTTAAACCTGTGGTTTCAAAGCTGTCCATGTCAACAAATGACAATAGTACCATTATCAATGATCATCTACTTTGTATAGGCAGGTTAAAGCCTACAAAAATGTTGCTAGTGAAAGAAAGATAGTAAGCACAAAGTCATGTAAGCAGTAACCTAACTCTGCAAAAATCAGCCCACCCAATAAAAATCTACAAAATACTGCCGAGTGTAGCATTGCACAATTCAGGTCTTATAAACACATTTAAATGTATCAAGGGTCAAGACATTTTGGTAAATGTGGCTTAAAGGTCTGTACCTGGCAACGGTATGACCCATCCTACTGATATACCAGAGATTAACTGTGGAGATCCTGAGTCATTAAACCAAAAAAAGAGTTGCTATAAAGAACTGCAAATCTCTCATGCAGTGTTTGATCCTAAACCTGTAACAAGATGTCTGCACACTGCTGTTTGGAAATGGAAAAGTACACACAAGGAAAACCACTATTTAAACCCAAGATAAAAGCCTTTACCCAATGTATCTGGAATGTTGCGCCTTTCGCGGTTAGTATCCGAAAGCCGGATGATTGTCCCTTCCTTTCGTTCTGTTTTGAAACGGATACGACGACCTTCATCCTCCTCTTCATCCTCATCATCTGACTCCTCTTTAATGTCTGGGGGTAATTCTTGAAAATCAATTAGACCCTATGATGAAAAAGACAAACCATTCCCAGTTATTGGGATTACACCTATTTTATATTTGTTACATGTTCCCATTCACATAACAAGCTAAAAAAAAAAATGCTTCTTGCAGTTTAAATTGCTTTTACTTGGGTTAGAATTTTAGGGGTTAAAATCTCTTTTTATTTCTTTGAAATGTGAGGAAAGGGCTGTGAGGAGTCTGAGCTGGCCAACCCACTGAATGTTAATGAAGCTTATCAGATGAACGCAATCCTCAAATTTCAGTCCCAAGTCTTTCTATAAGGACAGACCAATGTGAAAGGGCTTAGAAAACTTGGAATCAGCAATCTTGTCTCCTGTAACAAAACATCTAAAAAGGTAAGAATATTTTTTAAAAGTTATTTTTCAGTATGCTGTATGAACAGGAACACATAACGAACATATAGAGAGGTTTTCTCAAATTTGACTGCAAAAGTGGAAATACACTTTAAACTAATTGCCCTAGGTGTAAGCTTCATACAAGCCAATAAAAGTGTCAATATCGCCGCTGTACATCAAAAGATAATTCATAGAAACACCCTGATAAATGTACCAACATTTGGTGAATATGGTTTGCATAACTGGATACTCTTGACTAAAGTCTTAAGCATTTTACCTAGAGAAAACTATCATTTCCCTACATAGTATATGGAATAATAGGATTGTTGCACTCCCTATGAAATCTGTTTCTTGAATTTCATAAAAGACACAGGAAGTCTTAAACCTTCGGGTTAAACACCCAAAGACAGGAGGAGTAGAGACTGGCAAACTGTAGGCAAGCCCAGCATAAATCTTCCCACTGCCAGAATGCAAAGTTTTTTTTTAGGAAAGCAGTACTGACAGCATGATTATAAACACAAAGCAGTGGGGCCTTTGTCCTTCAATGGACTCCAAGAAGAAGGATTTTACAGTGAGTGGGTAAAAAAAAAAAAAAAAACCTATTTTGATTCTTGCTCATTAAAAAACACAATAAGTCTTTAACCTTGGAGGAAGTCCAAAAGCAATCCAACTGAGAGAAGCGCAAACACAGCAAAAAGGCTATCCGGCTGAAGATAACTATTGAGAACTGGGGACTGCTAGCAGGTCAAAGAACCACCTGAAGGATTCTGCTTCCAAGGTTAGCATCAAATGAGGCCGAAATGTCCAACTGGTGGGACTTGGAGAATGTGTAAAACAGACCAGCTGGCAACCTTATCTGGGAAACAGTTGCTTTGATGACAAAAAGCCCAAGAAACATGCACAGATCTAGTACAGAATGCCTTGACATGAAAGAGTGGAACATATGGTTGTCAAAAGCTTATATGACTGTCAACCTGAGCCGCTTAGAGATGGTAAAACGAGAAACCAATGCACCCTAAGGCTGGGCACACACCTTAAAGCCATCGCAAGACTTTTGTCTTGCGATGGTTGTAAGGTACTTAAAAAAACGTACGATCTGCCTATCTTGCATAGGCAGATCGTACTTGCGATGATCGCAAGACAAGCCCCCTGAGGGGCGGGCTTCAGATGACCGCAATGCCGAACGGGCAGTGTGCGTTTGCGCACACCGGCCCGTCCGGCTTTTATCTTACGAACATGCTACAGACCCGCCGAACATCGTACGATGCTCGGCGGGTTTTGAAACATGTTCGTAAGTTTAAAGTCGTGCGACCTTACAGTAGTAGAGGTCGCACGGCTTCCACACACCTTACAATAATCGTACGATCGCGAGATTTCCCGCGATTATCGTAAGGTGTGTGGGGACCTTAACAGTGTCTATCCAGGATTGCAAAAAGAGAAGTAGTCTTCATGAAAGAAGCAGTGGCTGACAGATTATAACAGCCCAAATCGAATACAGACAATTGAGGGAAATTTTTCTTTTGGTGAACTGAAGTTGGACAGAGGGAGTGAAGAACAATGGCTTGGCTGATAAGAAATAGAAAAGTTCTAGATCACTTCAAGCACCAGATGTTCTCAGCTCTCCCAAAAGTGGCAGCCGAAGGTCAGCAAGAAGTAAAGTGCCAAAATCAAAAGGTGTAAAGTCTAGATTTAATTTAGACTCTTCAGCGTCATAAAAAGCCAATGCATTTTGCAGGTTTGAAGCATCTCCCTTTACCAGGACCTTGTATTGATGAGCAAAGTGTGTATTGGACTAGAAAAACTGGAGGGTTCCTGAAACATTATTAATCTGATGATCACTCCAGATGCTGGTCAACTCCCAGGGTCCCAGGGCTGCTGGCTGAGGAAGTCTGCTTGCCAATTGTCTACACCTAGAATGTACAAGGCTATCAAAGCTGGAACGTGAAATTCTGCCCAGGACAGGATCAAATCTATAGCTGTGGTGAGACTATTGGTTCCTCCCTGCTGATTGATGTACGCCACTGCCACAACATTGCATGACTAAATTTGCATCTGAACTTGGTGAATACACAAGAGGAAGATGAGAGGCTGGAGGCCAGGACCATGATCTGGTACTCCAGGTGCCGCACAAAAGCATAGGAATGGCTGATTTGAAGAAAAAATGGTGGCATAAAGATAAGCATTTCTGATGTCCACAGAAGCCAGAAAGTCTACCAGGTCAAGGAAAGCGATGACAGATTTGGTGGATTCCATACAGACATCTGATATTGAGATAGTGAAGAAATGAAAGGGATATTTATTTACAGAAAGAGGGAGAATACTTTGCAGTCTGTTCCTTAACTGCCTCCGGGCCGGCCGAAGTAGAAAAACGGCCGTCCCGGAGCTCTCTAGATCTGAGCGGGCGTCTCTAGACGTCCGCTCAGACACGCCCCCTCGCGTGCACAATAATAAAAAATAAAAACCCCAGTGGTGATTAAATACCACCGAAATAACGCCCTATCTGTCCCCAAAAAATGGTATAAAATTCATTTCAGTACAGCGTTGCATGACGGAATAAACGTCAGTCAAAGTATCGCAGCGCTGAACACTGAAAAATGGCCTGGCCAGGAAGGGGGTCTAAACACCTGGTCTTGAAGTGGTTAAGCTTCTTCCTCTAAGCAAGATGGAAGCTGCTGCCACCAACTGCATCCTTTATGTTAGAAGCTGGTCCAAAGACACTTTTTACACAAAGGTTCAGCTGTCCAGCACTTTAGTCAAGGTGTCCTACTCATATGCACTGACAATGAGACAAGACGCTTCCAGCAAACCATAAAAGTTGAAATTTAAAGCTACAGCTTCCTGCTCCATGCATTCTCTAATCGAGAAATCAACAGCAGCAGCGTTTGGATCTCTGTTAAAGAAGAAGTCTCACCTTGCATTATTTTCACAGCTCAGTCACCTAACTCCCACAGTATATGTTGCTTTTTATCCCATGCTTCTGCATGATGTAGAAATTGAGTTATAGACTGACAGTCTACTCCTCTTCATTCCCCGACCACACTCTGAAAAGGAGACAGCCTCTTGATAACAAGCTCACTCTTGCTGTCTCTGTACTTTCCCAACACAAAACATAGCCCCCCTCCCAGTTCTATGGTCAATGCTGGTTCCAGTGAGAGCTTGTCCCCTCCTTCTGCCTTCCAGTGACCTCCCTTGTGTCTGGATAGTGCAGAGACAGTGAGATGAAAGTCAATCCAAAGTCCGTCCCCTTTGCAGAGCACTGTCGGAAATGAAGACAAGTAAATTATCAAAGTCTGTAACTCTACATAAACATAGTTTCTACATCACACGAAACACATAAAAAGCAACATACACGGTAGAAGTTAGGCGAATGAGCTGTGAAAACGAATACAAGATAAGACGACTTCTTTAGGGGATTTTGAACAGTCAGACATGGTTTGACATAGTAGGGTCACAGCTGGAATTAAATGAAGGAGCTCCCAAGTAAGAAAAGAGATCTAGAAAGGGCTTTAACCACTTATTGATTGAATCCCTAAAAATGGACACATAGTTTGAAAATGTTTAAAGTGAAAGAGCATTTTAAACAACCCAAGTGTCAAAATAGAACTGCAGGGGTGTGGAAATTTAAAAAAAAAACTGCTTGCCCAAGGACTAAAGCAGGAGCCCAAACTACTTGTCCTTCATGACAATCTACATGCCGTGATACAAAAAAATAATAATTTTAACCAAAACCGTATCTAACCATGCTAAGAAGCTCTTCTCATTGGTCAGCACAATCACCTGACCGCGCTGACCGAGTGCTCGGAATTTGCGAGGGAAATTCAAAATCCATAGCATGGTATAGAGCGTACAACCATAACGGATGAGGGGAAGGATTGTTTGCCAAAAGGTAAGTATAGCAATGGGGAGGAGAGGGGCCAGATTTGAATAGGTAATTACATTTTCCCAAATTACTTGGGAACGTGAACTTACTCTTTAATGCACATGTGCACAATGTGCGTGTTAGAGAGTGGTGCTGCCCGGCTACCACAATATGGTACACAGTGGAATGGGGGCAGCACTCGGCATACACACACGCATGCATGTACAGATGGTTTTAATTTTTTCACTTTTTTAAATACTTTTTACTATTTTTCACTTAACTTTATTGCTATCACACAGGGGCTAACAAGCGTTTGGAGGAGACAGGTTTCTCTTTATAGAGCCTGCCCTCCAATACATCAGATCCAGCAAAGCATTGTGCTAAATCTCCTGTGCAGCTGAGACAGGAAGTGCTGTCTCACTGATCACACAGAGCAGATCATAGAATGACCGAACTCCGGTCTGCTCCCCATTCTCCGTACTGAAATCACTGCCGTGGTCCCGGGGCCACCCAGATGGGCGGAGGACCCCAAAAACCACGGTGGGGGAAATGTCCCTAACGTCAGAATTCCAATCCCTAAACTGGGAGAAGCAACAGGATGATCCTCAAGTTTCAGAGAACTGTGCACTGCATCAATAGGAACTGAAGCAAACCCATTTAATTTAGGAGTAATAGCAGTAGACCAACTCCTCAGGGCAAGCTCATCAGTCACAGACTGAAGTGACTCAGAATCTAAGCCTCTGCAGCTGATGGCTCAAAAGCCGCTAAGGCTGCGGTCAAATCAGATAGGGGGTGGGAGTGCGAACTTGGCTAATGTAATCAGGGTCTGTAATAATTGGGTAATTTGGGTCAAAGTCTTTTGTGAGCATCTTAAAAATCAGTCAAGAGACTAGCCACACCTAACAAAGCCAAAGGGTACTCAGAGGATGGAAGAGACTGTAGGCCGGGACGAAAACATGAGTCCAGCCCACAGACATTGAACCTGTCAGTAGGCACACTGCAAGCAGCCCTAGAACAGTTAGTAGAATCAAACATGTCTACAACCAGGGATGTTCTGACTGCATGGGAGTAAGGCAATGTATAGACTTAGGGTAAGTAGTAAGCCCTCAGGTATTTACAAAACCCATCAGCTGGTATGAGGTGAGGGTTGGATGGCGGTAGGAGCCCAAAGTCATGTTACCCTGACAGCAGGTACAGATCAAAGGCTGAAATTCCTCATGGTTCTTGCAAGCTGGAGCAGCAGCGGGGAGATACTTCCTCTAAGTTGTATGGCCAAAAATAAAGCATGGAACGCACACGACACTCCACCTAGCAGATGCCATCAGCACTCAATCCCACAAAGACAAGACAGGCATTTACCCTTGGCCATCCCGGATGCATACATACCCAGTGAGAGGCCCCAGTTGGGCCCAAGTCCAAAGCTGCAGCAACCCCCCCACCTCCCTACAGTAGCGGACCCCCCCCAAGAGCCCTATGGGGTCACAGGTCACCGATATTCCAAGCAGGACACCAAGGGGAACTCAACTAAGACGCTACACCGGTGAGGATAGTTGCCTCTCCTTCAAATATGGAAACCTGTGGACCAAAGAAAAGGGACGGCTGGGGGAACCAGTCTTGGGTAAAGGTCCCGTGCATGGAGCTCTCCAGGTCAGCTGTCCCTGTGAGCAAGAGATCCATGCTGCGGGAGGCCCCTGCAGGTAGGTCGAGCCACCTCTCATAGGCTGTCCTGGAAGAAAGCAGTAGAAATGTTGATCCTCCTAGGACACTTGTTGCATTGTGGTAATGGGAGGAGTTATCCTAGGCTGACCTACAGTTTTTTTTTGTTTGCCAGTGTCCAGTCCTCTTGTAGGCAGCTATATAACCAGAAGGTTTAAGACTTCTTGTGATCTTCAAAGGTCAAAAAGAAAATTTGATATAAAACGGAAATGGTATCCTTGACAAATTATATAGTACATGCAACACTGCAATGTAAAACCTACGAGGTAACATTGTTTACAAATTATGCCAAGTTGTTAATTATTCAAATGACAGTAGTAGTAAAGAAAAAACTTTACTCGCCTAATACTGCCTCTACTAATCAATATACTAATGCATTGTGTACTCTGGTTTTTGCCCATTTATGTGTTCAATAACATAAAAATTTGGAAATGCTACAAAATGTATTAAAAATAGGGAAGAGAAGAGCCTATTACTTCTTCAGTAGTATTGGCAGGATCTTGCTGTTCTGCTTCCTCAGGAGCATCTTCTGCTTCCTCCCCCACATCTTCCACATACTGCTCCTTACTCACTTTCTGCCTTTTGTATGCCTGTGAGACTTCTTCCTCCTGGGTGGACAAAGTAAAAGAAAAAAAAAATTGCACGGAGCACACTTAAAATACAGAGTTTTTCAGAATTAAAGCAGGTGGTCAATTAGTCCAATAGGGAACACAGAACAATTACCAATGTATACTGCTTGCTTATCACAAAATGCCATGTGGCTCACATCTGTCTGACTGACTGCATTCTTTATTCTCAGAAAAAACACCTCAACAAACCACTTGGTGTTCTTTGCCATTGGTCTGTTTCTAACTTAAAGCAACACTAAACTAAAAAATTAAATCAAAATAACTTATTATATAAATAATAAATTACTGCGTACCTTTTTTATCATTGTTCAGCTCTAAATGCTCCAAAATCCGTTTTATCTTTCTTCATTCACAACTTCCTTCCAAAGGGTGGCTTACTTTTCTTCTCCATGGTCCCTATGGGAGCTGAGAAGTAGCCACCCTCTGTGCTGGTTCATGTGAAGGACTACAACATGCTGAGGGCGTGTCTTCTCAGTCTCCGCCCACAAATCCTCCCCTCTAGACTCTGCAAAGAGCTGGGATTTCTTCAGCTCTCCCACACTAATATATGATCTTTGATTTCTCTCCTCCTGGTTCACCAAGGAGGGAGTGTGGGTTGAGCTGCTCGTGAGGAGATTCAGCATGTGAGCCGTCACCAGCCTCATACCTTCTTTCAGCACGCGAGTCTTAGCTCACATGCTGAATCTGGTCACACCGTCAAAGAGGATACGGCTCCTACATTTGAAATGTTTTTCTGTGTAAACTTGATGTTTGTTGTAGATTTGATAATTCAGAGCATTGCAGAGATTACAAGCAGTGACACTGTCACAGTGTGTATAGTGAGGAGGGGGAGTCAGCTGTGTGCAGTGGGAGATGATTCCTCTCGGCCTCATGGGAGTTGTAGGCAAAGAAAGATGTGCACGTGACCAGTATCAAACGTGCACGGCTCTTAATAAGGGACAGGAAATGTGACAGGAGAGAAGAGATAAGGGAGCGAGCACAGCACACTTTCTAAAGGGATTAAAATAGTAAGACTTTATTTTAAAACATAAATATATTAGCAGGGGTAGTTGTACTGCTACCGCGCTCGTGCGCTGTACATTACAGGAAGTTGGCTCTTGTTAGACATGCAGACGGGGGTGCCCGCCTCTTCTTTTGTGTCACTGTGAGGTTTTTACTGCTGTCTGTATCCTCATTAGAAAGATTTAATCTCACTTCCTGTCCTTGAGACAACAGAAAGTGAAAGGAAATCTACCCCTAGGAAGGGAAATTCACTCCTGTAAGAGTAATAATGGGAAAAAGATACCTCCACTGAAGCTTTATCACCAATCCTTGCTTCACAGCAAACAAACTTAACAGGGGGTTAACCCTTCCTTATGCTATCCAAAACAAAAACAAAACATTTTTTGGCTAGAGTTACACTTAAAAAATGTACCTTGTTCAACTTGCATACAAATTCAACTTAAGAACAAACCTACAGTCCCTAAAAAAATAATGACAGTACAGAAGACCTGCAGAGAGAAGTAGTTAACAATACTAAATACAATACTAATAAATGAAAATTATTTTAGATTCCCATATGTAATTAACGTGTTTTATTGCTGGATTTCAGATCAAATGTATGTACATGTATTATATATGTGTTTCTTTTTATAAATCTATTATCTCTGTGGGCAAACACTGTCCCTTCAATCTCTTCATTCAGACTTGGACAGCTATTAGTTACAAAGATGACTGGCGAGAGCAATCAATCATTCCTTTAGTGTAAGCACCTTAAAGATGTCTTTAGGAAGTCAATAATCTTTTAGCTTTAGATGACTTTATCAGATCTTGCTCAAAAGCTTGGATAATAGCTTTTGCATTAAACAGTATGAACAATTGCCAGTGCACCCAAGACACAAAGCAGTTTCCAGCCACGAGGTTACAATCCTCAAGGTCATGATTCTCTTTTACCATCGAGCATGACAAAGGAGTGTTACTTGCCGACAAACAAGCTGTCAACACAAAGTTTGTCACAATCTAGATAAAGAAACTGGCAGACACTGATAATAGGTCTAATTTTCATCTATCCTCCAGAAGGAAAATGAATCTGAAACCGCTCTCAAAGTCCAAGCAGAGGAAGCACTACAATCAGCAGATACAAAAGGACAACTTACTTGAAATTCATCCAGAGGCTCAGTGATCTCAAGGTCTAAAACCCCGTCCGTAGTTACTTCATCCTGATATTCTATCTGCTCATCAGGTACCTCATAATTGTCTTCATAGGACTCCACAAAATCATCTGCACCTGCTTCCAGGTCTTCTACTTCCTCATACATCTCCTCATTTTCAGGATCTTGAAGATCACCTTCTACAGCTGGAGACTCTTCTTGCTCCTCCTTTATGCTCCGAGAGAGGTCAAATGATGACATGCCCCCTGTAGTTGCATTCAGGCTAACAGTGACTCCCTGGGCACTAGAAGTAAAAAAAGAAAGTAGGCAGTGTGAAAATCTCTGGAGAATGTCACTAAAATTAATGTTAAAAATTAATATAATAAATAAGACACTTTTGGTTTTCGAAACAAATGCTTTCCCTATTCCCCATTTCCCTAAAGGTTCTAGCATGTTCTGTAAGGGTGATATTAGGCTCTGCCTCCAGTTTTATTAAGCACTGAATGTTTGCATATGGCAGCTGTAAGCCCTCATTAACATCTAAGCGAGTGTCTTCGCGCATAGAAACGCGTTTTGCGTAGCACATTTTCACACGAGGAAAACGTGCATGCACATACACAGCACATGTGTCAAACTCAAGGCCCAGGGGCCGAATCCGGCCCACCAGGCCATTTCCTAGACTTCTACTTTCAGATCTAGGTATTAAGTTATTACTAAAACTATAACTGCAGAGGCAATTATGATAAAGATTAGATACATTTATATAGTCTTACAGATACAACTGGCCCTTTGAAGGCAACCATAATGTTGATGAGGCCCACGATTAAATTGAGTTTGACACCCCTGACAGAGTAACGCGTTTTTGCGAGCAGCTCGTGGCACATTGATGTGAATGGACAAATGTGTGCGTAAAATGTGCGTATCCATTGAAGTCTATGGGGCCAAAAAGCACAAAATATGCCAAAAGGAAACTCATGTACTTTCTTCAAGCGACGGGTGTTTTACTACAAGCGACAAAACGCTCAGATGCGAACATGGCCAAATAAATGAATAGGGGTTTTTTGGGGGGCATTTTTTTAAATATTATTCAAACAGAAAAAGAGCTACAAAACGCTCATTGTGAATGAGGGCTTACGAGGCC